CAGTGTTCTGGGGTATTAAAAAACGACACTGTGGTACAAGTGATGGATGCGACGAGGAGCAAGGAGCCTGGAAGTACGAACACGCATACGATGCTCGGGATTCAGGGTCTAGTTGTAACTGGGCGAGACGCGTGCGACACCGCAAGCCAGGTTTCGAAGCCTCTCGGGCTTTTGAGTTTGTCGCATCAGAGTCGCGTCGACAAGTTTCCTTTACCATGTTTCAGCGTGAGCCAATTAGGCATGTGCTCTGGTAAGCAGAGATACGGTGTGGGCGCAGGAAGGTATATCCGGCGAACATCAGGAATGCAGGGAGCCGAAGGGGACTAGGGCGGGCGAAAACCATGCAGACCCGTGGGTGGAATAATCAGAATCTGAACAATTTTAGTGCAGCCAGCGCGCGTATATACAAGCCGCCCCTCCACGCTCCCTTCCCTCTATCTGCCCTCGCTTTTTCAGTTTTCTTGTATTGTATAGACTCTCCACTCTTCCGTTGGGGCGTCTCTACATCCACGCTTGATACCCGGGGTTTTCACCCTCTCGCGCTGTTGGGCACTGCTTACGCTTGAGCCGCCGCGAATAATTCCAGACCGTATCGATAAGCCCCTCCACCAAAAAGAAATCGCTCGTCGCAGATTCACAGCGCAGCACCACTCACCCCTACCGGCTTCTTTCGCAGATGCCGCACTCTGAGTCGCCGCCTATGGCTCCCGCTATTGTCGTCGACAAGGCCAGCGCAGCCCCTGCGCCCTCGCAGGAGGATGTCAACGCCTTCATCAGCAGCATCGTCACCGCAAAGACGTCGCACGCCTCGGTCGACGCCGCCTACGCCCTCACCACCCTCCTCCAGAACTCAGTAGGCTTCCGCGGCCTCACTGGTTATGGCATACTCGAGGAGATCAAGAAATCGGCGGCCAACAAGAAAGACGCCGTGCGGAGAGAGGGCGCCATGAACGCCCTCGGTGCCTTCTTCGAGCGCCTCCCGCGCACACAACGCCTGACAGAGGCCATCTTCCTGGTCCAGAACGAAGGGCTGGTACCCATGGTCCTTGACCTGCTGGCAGACAAGACTGGCTCCGTCAAGGAGTCGGCCAAGTACGCTCTCGACTCGCTGTTCGAGAACCTCAGCGCTGAGGCCAAGGTCTTCGGCCTCTTGCCTGTGCTGACCAAGTACCTGGGCAAGAAGTCCGGAAAGTGGCAGGGTGCTGCTTTCGCCTACGAACTCATCGGCCGCATGGCCGACAAGGCCAAGATGGGCATGGAGAGCCTCGAGGTCGAGAAGGAGAAGGATGTTCTCCGCGAGTCCATGGGCAAGAAGCTCGAGGGTCTCATCCCTATCGTCGAGGCCGGCATGCACGATCTCAAGAATGAGGTAAGGTCCCCCATCCGCTATTCTACAGCCACCGTACTAACCACGAGCAGGTCGCAAAGCAGTCTGTCAAGACGATGAACAGCCTTACCACCCTCCTCCAGAACGACGATATCGCGCCCCGGATACCGCTTCTCGTTAAGGCCATCGAAGACCCCTCCACGACAAGTCTGCAGAAGGCCATCCACGCTCTCTCTCAGACCACCTTCGTTGCTATTGTCACATCACCCGTCCTTGCTATGGTCACACCTCTGCTCGAGCGCTCTCTGAACATGCCTTCCACATCACAGGAGGTCACCCGCCAGACTGTCGTCGTAGTCGAGAACTTGACCAAGCTCGTTCACGACCCTATCGAGGCCCGCGCCTTTTTGCCCAAGCTTCGCCCAGGTGTGCAGTCCGTCAAGGACCGCGCTTCCCTGCCTGAAGTCCGCGAAATCGGCCAGCGTGCGCTGGACGTTATCGAGAAGGCCATGGCCGACCCAGACCACAACATCGACAGCGGCGCCATCGCGAGGACACAACCATCGGATGTTCAGAAGGTCATCGAGAAGCAGATCACCGCTTCTGCCAACCTCCTTGACTTCCCTGGTGACGCGGAGGTCTTGGCTATCACCAAGAGGTACATCTCTGAGATGATCGCTGAGGTGGTCGATCAGCGCGAGCTTCAGCGCCTCCCAAAGCTCGTTGGCCCCTACCTGGAGCCTTTGCTCAACGCCGGAGACGCCGACAAGGTCGCAGAGGCCGTGCACCAGTTCTACGTGGACGAGGACCACCGCAAGTTCGGCCAGCCCGTCAAGGAGGATGACGGAGAGACAGAGATCGTCAACGCTGTCTTCTCACTAGGATACGGTGGCATGTTGCTCCTCTCGCACACCAACCTTCGCCTGCTCAAGGGCCACCGCTACGGTCTTTGCGGTCGCAACGGTGCTGGAAAGTCTACGCTCATGCGCAGTATCGCAAGCGGCAAGCTGGAAGGTTTCCCTTCTCAAGATGAAGTCAAGACATGCTTCGTCGAGCACAACCAGGGAGAAGACGCTGATCTCTCTATTCTTGAGTACATCGTTCGCGACCCGCGCTTCGCGGACGAGAGCCGAGAGCGTATCTCCGAGGTTCTCGAAGAGGTCGGCTTCACCGCTGGCCCCGAAGGCAGGCAGTCCGCAAAGGTCGGCTCTCTGTCCGGAGGATGGAAGATGAAGCTCGCTTTGGCCCGTGCTATGCTTATGCGCGCCGACGTGCTCCTCCTTGACGAGCCCACTAACCATCTGGATGTTGCCAATGTCGCTTGGCTCGGAAAGTACCTCAAGTCCCACACTGAGATCACTAGCTTGATCGTTTCTCACGACTCTGGTTTCCTCGACGAAGTCTGCACCGACATTTACCACTACGAGCAAAAGAAGCTGGTCTGCTACAAGGGCAACCTGGCTGATTTCGTTCGACAGAAGCCGGAAGCGAAGAGCTACTACACGCTCTCGGATACCCAGGTCAAATTCAAGTTCCCTCCTCCTGGTATCCTCACTGGTGTCAAGTCGAACACTCGCTCCATTCTGCGCATGACAAACTGCTCCTACACCTACCCTGGCGCTTCCAAGCCATCGCTCACCGATGCTTCTTGCAACTTGTCACTGTCATCCCGAGTCGCCATTATCGGTGCCAACGGTGCTGGTAAATCTACGCTCATCAAGATGCTTACTGGCGAGACCGTCCCTCAAGAAGGTACCGTCGAGAAGCACCCCAACTTGCGTATCGGTTACATCAAGCAGCACGCTCTTGAGCACGTCGAGATGCACATGGAGAAGACTCCCAACCAGTACCTCCAATGGCGTTACGCCAACGGTGACGATCGTGAGGTGCTCATGAAGCAGACACGTGTGCTCAGCGAGGAAGACAAGAAGCAGATGGAAACTCCCATCGATCTAGGCGACGGCTCAGGCCCCCGTAGGATCGAGGCACTCATTGGTCGTGCGAAGTACAAGAAGACCTTCCAGTACGAAGTCAAGTGGTTGCACATGCTGCCCAAATACAACACCCAGATCTCGCGTGAGACGCTTCTCGAGAAGGGCTTCTCAAAGCTTGTCCAGGAGTTCGACGATCACGAGTCGTCGCGTGAGGGTCTCGGTTACCGTGTCTTGGAGCCCAAGGTCATCTCCAAGCATTTCGAGGATCTCGGTATGGATCCTGAGATTGCGAACCACAACGAGATCTCTGGCCTTTCCGGAGGACAGAAGGTCAAGGTCGTGCTTGCCGGTGCCATGTGGAACAACCCCCATCTTCTCGTCTTGGACGAACCCACTAACTTCTTGGACCGCGACTCTCTCGGTGGTCTCGCTGTTGCCATCCGCGACTACAAGGGTGGTGTGATCATGATCTCGCATAACGAAGAATTCGTCGGTGCTCTCTGCCCCGAGCAGTGGCACGTCGCCGACGGCCGCGTCACGCACAAGGGCCACCTTGCCGTCAACATGGACCGTTTCGAGGACTCGCGCCCTGGATCCAGCAATGTTAGCAGCAACGTGAGCTCCGCTGCGCCGTCCACCACCGGTACTCCAGTCATGAGTGACGCCGAGGGCAACAAGGACGATATGAAGTTCAGGTCGAGGAAGAAGAAGAAGATGACCAAGAAGGAGCTCAAGGACCGTGAGGTCAGGCGTAGATTGAGGTACATTGACTGGTTGAACAGTCCCAAGGTATGGTTTTTCCCTTTCCATCCACATCGATGCAGATTACTAACAAACTCATTAGGGTACTCCTCAGCCACCCAACACTGATGACGAGGCCGAGTAGATGTTGTTGCAACTGTTTCGGATTATGATCGCATTATGATATCTTAGACTATGCAGATTTGCATTGCTCGGCGTTTAATAGAGGCCTGGATGATTGACTGCATTTGCGTCACCGATAGATTTTGAACGTCTAGCTGCATCCTTATGATGAATCAAAAGCATTTCCTTTTCTTCAAGCTACAGTCTTATCCCTGATTTGCGTGAGTCTTGCTACTTCGTATGAGCTACCTTCGCCTATTATGACGTGTGAGCACCAACGCTACCCGGTAGGGTCCAGCAATGTGAGAAGGTACCTAGAGTCGATACATCATACTGCCGCAATAAGGTAATTGCTCGGTGGAAAAGTGATGCGTTTGAATTGTGCTTCTGCGTTCAATAGTGTAGACGTATAGTGCAGAGCTGCTTGAGATGTCGTCGCGTGCATTGTTTTTGCTGTTCAGAATACCCAATGCTTCAACTCCTACATACCGATCGGTCATATTTTCATTCGGCTTCTTCACTCATTCATCAGTGCGGTGGTCCGATCGGTGGGTGCAGAAACAGATTGCGTGCACTTCGCTCCTTCCACCTTCACTATCTCACCAATCTCACCAGTCCACTGCCCCACCCAACGAACACTCACGCTCCGCAAGTCGGACCCTGAAAAGCGTGAGGTGAGAATCGCCTCCCAACAGCTTTTGCCTAGCGGGATAGCAAACGCCTGCACCTGCTCTTTCGCCTCGCTCCGTTGATATAAGCCCACCTTTCTCTTCCTCTTTCCATCACCTTCCCCCACCACCCTTCTCCACCATCAACCCCTCCACACTCTCTATATCACACACAACTACGACGACAGTACCTTAAAGTACGCTTCCATGAAGCTCATCACTGTCGCCCTCACTGGGCTGGCGGCGCTCGTCGCTGCCTCGCCGGTCGAGACTACCACCGCTGCTGCGGCTTCTGTGTACGAGAACGATGATGTTCACACGTAAGTCGCCTCGCCTTTCGTTCATGTTATAAGAGGGTAGTATACTGACTGTCAACAGGTACAAGTGTGACAGCGACAAATATGTCCTCTCTTGCCTCCGCTCGGGCACCTGCTCTTTCGTCGAGGAGTGTTCCTTCAAGTGCGCCAAGAACACCAAAGGCGCTTGGTGTACCGGTTCGGTGACTGCTACCAGTGTTGAGGATCGAGATGTTGGTGGCCCTTCAGCTATGCACTTGAGCAACGACGAAGTCAAGTAAGTAAACTCCATCGTTCACCAAGGAATGATCATTAATCTTGTCGCTACAGGTATTCCTGCACTAAAGATGAGTGGATCCTCGCCTGTCCCGTCAACGCCGCTTGCGCTACCATTGAGTATTGCCTGGTCAAATGCATCGCGAATGAGCGAGGTGCTGAGTGCTCGCCCGGTACATCCGAGAAGCGTGACGTCGATTCGGATATTCATATCGAGGACAAGAAGACCTACGAGTGCGCCAAGGATCGCACTGGTGTCTTGGTCTGCCAGTATGGCTTCTGCCAAACCGACCACTACTGCAAGAAGGGATGGAAGTGTCGCGACAACTGCAACTGCTGCAAGAAGCCCAGCATGTTCGACCGAGACGTCGACGACGCCGACACTACTGAGGCACCTCCACGGTCCAAGGACGCATCTAGCAATGTAAGCACTCTCCTGCATTCTCATTGAGCTCGAAGAGATCTGAGTTCCAGGCTCGGGTTCGCTCCCATCTCACCTCTGATGGCTACAATTTGTGTCGCAGATCTTTCTAGGTTGAAGTGTACATCGTCTTAGCAAGTGTGTACTTGTTAAGATTTAGTTGCATGCATACTGCAAACTGCGACACGAATTCTTTCCACCCCTGACCACTACATCACTCTCCCGCAATAGCACATTGCTAACAAAAGTCTTCAGGCCCCCACCGTCGTCGAGTCGGACACTTTGGCCAAGCGTGATCCTACCTGTGCGCCTGGAACCTATACCTGCCTGGAATCCGCGTCAACGGGTGCCTGGATCATGACCTGCGACTACAAGGGTGCGTGGCAGTACTCGTCGAACTGCGGTACTATGAAGTGCCTCGAGCGAGACGATGGAGCCGCCCATTGCTGGAACCCAGGACCGGAGTGGAACACGGATCCGGCAGCCGCTAAGCGTGAGGCTTCCTGCATGCCTGGGACCTATTCCTGCCACGAAGACGCGTCAACGGGTACCTGGATCATGACCTGCGACTACCGGGGCAAGTGGGTGCAATCTGCCAACTGTGGAGATTTGAAGTGCCTCGCGCTATCCAATGGTGCCGCGCATTGCTGGAACCCAGGACCAGAGTGGGACACGACAAATGGAGCTCGCGATGAACCATCCCAAGTTTCATCGCGTGCTGCTCCATCTCTGTCCTGTGAGCCTGGAGTATTCGGTTGCGGCTTCAACTCTGCCACAGGAACCAGCTGGGTAATTACTTGTTCTTCAGAAGGAATCTGGTAAGTTCTTTATTCTACGAAGTGTATTTGATGCATGTACTGACTTGGTACCTCTACCTCTGCAGGCTGTGGTCATCCGACTGTGGTCAGGGACAGACCTGTGATCTAGCAGCTGACGGGAAATCTGCCCACTGTAAGCCGGATGCGAAGCCTACCATTGGAGCCCGCGACGAGCTTCTCCAAGTCCCATCAGAGCTGGCTCCATCTATGTCTTGCTCACCTGGATCGTTCAACTGCGCTTATAATAACGCGACCCAGACGGAATGGACTGTCACTTGCGAGCAGTCTGGATCCTACTGGCAGTGGTCTGCCGACTGCGGTAAGGGTTGGAAGTGCGTTTCGGACGGTCGTGTTGCACACTGCGTCCCAAAACAAGCTTTATTCGAAGCCTGGGAAGCTTGGGAGGCCACCCAGACCTCTACATCGACTCTCGAGGTTGAGGCTTCAGCAAAGGCTTGAGTGGAGTCTCATATAACAGAGTAGCAGGATGTAAGGATGAGAGCGATCGGTGCGCACGGCCTTACAGATACGCCTTATGGGTACGCCGACTCCTCCAAAAGCATGCAAGGCGCAGATGGCAGTCGCTAGTAGGGCTTTAACCACTCTTCATGACGTCGTTTCTGAAAGTAACAATGAATGAGACACCTGCGATACCTTGGCCCTTCTCTTGTGTTGCATGTGATTTTTGGCAAGCGGTGACTGATCTTTTCGCAACCCGGTGAGCGAATAGTTGAGGATGATGTCGTGAGGCAGAAGGATGCGATCGATCGAATGCGACGTCGCTAACGGTTGGTGGCGCTAAGGATCTTATGCCGCGGATCTGAAGCTTAGCAGCTGCACAACAACGCTTTGGCTGCAAGCTGCATGGTGCGCTACATGTTCTTGTGGTATCTACAAGAAATGCACGCGAAGACGCGTCTATCAAGTCTAATCAAGAAATGAAGATTAAGAGCAAAGAGCCGACAGGAGCCCGTCGCGAGCAAAAGACCCCTTAGAAAACTGGCGGGGCTCACCCAGCACCTAGTCTCAGATCGACATCGCGTCCCTGCATACACTCGTCATACGTTAAAAAACAACCCTCTTCCAGCTGACCAAGAAACATGCACGGTAGCGCCAAACGTCTACCGCGAATTGTGGCTTGTAGGATGTTGAAGATCTAGACTTTCCTCCCCTCCTCAGCTTCTTCTTCCTGCTGTGCACCTTCTACGACCCTTTACTTTCGCAGATTGACCTTCCGCGGAGCTTCGTCTTCGCATCCAGGCAACAGCCACGATGTCGTTCATCGTCGAACATGCGAAACAGGCCGTCACCGACAAACAAACTAATGTCGTCATTTTCTCGGCCACGGCCATTGCCCTCTACGGGTATGACCAGGGAATGATGTCCCTCATCAACACGAATTATGACTACCTATCCACCATGGGCCTCGAGGAGGAGTCACCAGTCGTGGGTGTGATCGTAGCGGTTTACTACCTCGGCTGCGCTGTCGGCGCTGTGCTCTTCTCCATGCTCGCTGATAAGTTGGGAAGGAAGAAGAGCATCTTTGCCAGTCTGGCAACAGCTAGTTTGGGAAATCTGATCATGTTCGTAGCCGGAATGGGCATGTTGGGAAAGAGCACGGAGATCGCATTGGGCGTTATGCTTGCTGGACGCGTGGTGATGGGATTGGGCGTTGGAGGCATCGACGCAGTCATTCCCACCTACTCCTCCGAGTTGAGCGCCGACGACTCTCGTGGTAAAGCGCTGGCCCAGGAATTCCAGTCCAACATCTTCGGTCTCGTAATGGCGTTTGGTATCAACTTGCTCGTCACCATCCTCCTTGGAAAGCAAAACCAGTGGGCATGGCGCGTCCCTATCATTGTCATGCAGGTCTACCCCGTCCTGTTGATGGCATTTGTCGAACGCCTTCCGGAATCTCCGCGTTGGTTCATCTTCCATGACCGCCAAGATGATGCGAAGAAGGCATTGGACGACATCTATGGAGATGAGGGCAAGGAGAAGCTTGATGAGCTACTTGAACAGCACGAGAAGGAGAAGGATATCAAGGTTGGGTACATGGATATGCTCACCCCCGGCCACGAGCAGTTCCATCCTACTATGGTCACAGTAATGTGCCAGGTCAACCAGGCGCTTACCGGTTACGGTGCAGTCAGTGTGTACGGGCCGCAGATCTTCGAAGTAAGTTGTGTCCATGATCAGAGTGGTACGGTTTTGACTCAATACTAACATGTGACAACAGCTCCTAGGCTTCTCGGTCCGCAACTCTGAATACCTTACCCTTGGCAACTACGTGTCCTACTTCTTCCTCATGACGCTCGCTTGGCTCTTGATCGATGCTATGGGTCGACGCAAGATCATGATCCATAGTTCTGTCATTCTTGCCACCTCATTCGCACTTCTCGGTGTTTTCGGTGGCTTAGCAGCAAACTCTGAGCCCATGAACATTCCCATTATCGTCCCCGGGATCATTGGAACCGTCATTTTGTTTGTTGCCACCGGCGCTTTCGGAATCGGCTGGCTCTCAACCGTGTGGCTGTTCCCCACTGAGGTCTTCCCGACCACCGCACGCGCCCAAGGCACCGCTATCTCCGTCATCATTTGGGGCCTTGCCAACTTCGCCATCACCTTCCTCACACCTGTCCTGTTCAATAACCTCGACTACTGGATTTTCGTCGTCTTCGCTGCAACCAATGCTTTCGCCGGGCTGTGGACGTACTTCTATCTCCCGGAGACTGGTGGCAGGACATTCGACGAGAACATGGACTTCTTCAAAGAGGCGGGTGAGCAGGGAACATGGAGGGTTGGCAAAGTGGGTAAGGGCGAGTGGAAGAAGATGTACTATCCCGATGCTGAGGGAGGTGATGCCGTCGAGGCGGAACGCGTACCGCTGTTGCAGAGGGTGGAAGATCAGGTTCCTAGCGTGGAACAGTCTAGAAAGCCAAGCCAGCAACGGGAACAATAGAGAAAGGAAGCTCAGCCTTCTATGACGCGGGGGTTTCAAGGAACTCTCGAGGCGTAGTAAAAGCGGCGCAAAAGGTAAGTCGTGCTAGTCAACTTTATTCAGAGCTGCGCTGACGTCACCCTCAACAGTTATCATATCAACTAGCATCAGAATGAACATCCAATTTTTCTTCAACAAAACTTCCAAAAAGATCAACACGTTGATCTACATGATGTTCCCAGTTGATGCTCGACGTTCTGCCCCACAAACTAATATAGACGATATAGCCAACCCGGTTGCGGAGAATACCCGGCATCTACGTGATCCAAGTACCGACCACGAGCCACGAACATTAGATTGAAAGCGATCAAATTCCCCAGATACTATCGTCATAGTCTGCATGCAATCTGTTCTCCGCGAGGCCAAGCGATCTTCATACATCCTGTTCATAAGTCTTGCAGCGTCCGCATTATGTGCGCGACATTTCGTTGCCATCTGTATCGACCGCCAAAATGCGCTCACTAACGTATGCAGTTGCGCTCTACGTTTCTCTAGCTAGCGCTGTTCCGTTTGCGACGGCGCAAAGGACAGGCTCACCGTCCGACTCGCCCCAAGACTCCGACATCTACCAGTCCTCTTATCTCGGCGGCGAGCACAACATCGATCCCTCAGACCTCACAGATTTTACACAGCTATGGAACGCAACTTTCAACACGGATGAGAAAGTAAATTGCCATCGCTGCATCTCACCTCTGATCCGTCATTAACACAACCACAGCATTGGGCGCGCCCTCTCGTCCACACTCTTTCCTCCACCGGCCGCCAAATCGTCTTCACCGCGTCAACCGAGAACCGCATTAGAACCTTCGACGCAGAGACCGGCCAGCTACTGAACGAGCGCCAAGTCGCTCCACCATGGCCAATGGACCAAGCGTATTGCACGACGCACGTCAGCAAAACATTAGGCATAATGGGCACGCCAGTCATCTACCGTGAAGACGGCAACGAAATCGCTTTCTTCTATGTCAAAAGCTACATCGAGGATTACAGACAACCAGGTGGCGCTTACCCGCCTCTGAATTCCGTTTACTATCTCTACGGCGTGTATCTCGACACGCTACAGGACCTATACAAATACCCCATGATCATCGATGGCCAGCCCTCTGATAACGATATTCGCAAGACGTTTCTGGGAGGTCTGGTGTTGCAACGGCCTGCGCTACTGTTGCTGGGCGATGTGCTGTATGCGGGGTTCGGCGGGCTGTGCGACGCGTTCAACTACACCGGAAGCGTTGTCGCTGTTAATCTCGCAACGCAGAATACGTATACGTGGACTACGCAAGCAGGAAACGCGAGTCTGTACAATGACGACTGGACAGCGTGGCATGGGGGTGGCGCGGGTGGCATCTGGCAGGCTGGCGCGGGTCTCTCGTCAGATGGCAAGGACGTCTTCTTCACGATTGATAATGGCGGCGGGTCGACGGCTGCAACGCTTGATGTCACGCCAAGGAAGGGCCACGAGTCTTTGGGTGTTCTTTCGGAAACCGTGGCGCGTATCACACTTGATGAGTCTGGCGGTGCTGGGATTCAACTTGTTGATTTCTTCCGTCCGTCGGATTGGCAAATAGACTCTGGACAGGATATTGGGAGTGGGGGTTTTGCTGTCCTTGATGGCGATGTTTTCAAGACTAAGAGTGGGAAGAGGATCGGTATAGCCACTTCTACAAACCCGAAGATGTACGTGACGGAAGTTGACAGCTTGGGTGGGTATTTGCAAGGTACAAACGGTACGGATGGAATCCTGCAGACTATCCCTTTAGAAGGCGAGGTCTTTGGTGCGATTGGATCTTATCCGCTAGAAGGAGGTTATATCTACGTCAACCCAGGCAATACCGCTCTATCCGCGTATGCATTTACTCCGAACGCATCGTCCTCGCTCTTCAGCTTCGCTGGCAAATCCTCCGACTTGAACGGACACTGGGGTGGTGCTGGCCTCCCGACTGTCATCAGCAACAAAGGTCAGCCTGGCACAGGTATCGTGTGGGCCACGGATGTGCAGGCTGGACTGAGAGCGTTTAAGGCAGTGCCGGTTAATGGGACGTTGGTTGAGCTGCCGCTCCCGAAGGTGGAGGGTGCGGTGAAGTTTGGAAGACCTGTGTTTGGCGATGGGAAGGTTTTTGTTGTTGACGGTCAGGGACGCTTGATTGCGTTGGGGAGGAAGACGGCGACGTAACCGTGGGCTTAGGCGTAGGTGCAGTAGTAGTGGTAGCAGTAGATGGAGTGAAAGAGAAAGGAAGAGGAGCGGGCTGCATCCACAAAGGTAGCGTGTCCATCTTCGAAGCGCCTCAACGTGTCCTTCTGGTGTATGCAAATGCCCCGTCACCTCAAATACAGAACTCTTGTACCGTCTCCAAAATTGCTGCCTTGGCTCTTCTCTAGGGCTTACTCGGTGATCTCGGACATGTCCACGGGTCTCTCGGCGTTAACAGCGCCATCCCGGGTGAAACCATCAAAGCCG